TTATTAGATTATTTCTTCTCGATAAACACTTTCAAGTTGAGTAATATACTTACGGTTTAGACAAACATGGTACTAGTTTTTACTCAGTGATCATTCATAGTGAACAATGAAATCCTAGACGAGGCTATTTAAGGCCGAAATCGGTGTATCATAAAGTATCTGATTGTGATACAACTTAACGAATGTTCTAATCTTATGAGGTTCACCTCCCACAAGACTGATATGTTAACTAACATAACATTTAATTCAAACAAAGTTTCTTACCGACAACTTCTGACTATTTAAAAAGCAACTATAAAAATATCGTTTGGCTGGCTATGAAATTCTGAGTGATATGATGTGACTGTCAGCACTTTCCGAATAGATACAATCCTGCGTCACCAAGTGCTGAGATATATTTCACTTGACATGATGCTACTGTGTCTTCATTTCCAATACATAGTTACTGTTATCATATTGAAAAGAGTAAGAACAAAGAGTTGTGTAGAATAGTACGAATTCATTTTCTTTCGTTTGGTTCTCATCAGCTGCTTATAACCTGTAATATTTAAAAAAAAATCATAATTCTATCATCATTGTGAGGAGGATTAGCAATCATTTTCTTCTTTAAAAGTTTTCCAACCATACTCGTAGTTTGTTTTTCTGTTGATTTACCTAAATCCTTGTTATATTTACCTACCCCGAATTTCAGTTGATCGTCCAGGATTGATTTGATCTTGGTGATGTAGACAGCTATGTTCACTAGAATGACACCTAAACCTTTATCTGGTCGTAAGAGCATTGACTCTTTATTTTGATAGATACTTCCTAAAGCTGCTAGACGTTCTTTTGATAGAATATTCGAATTTGATATCGATTAAATGAAATAGTGATTGATAATGCCAACTAACTTTGATTTGAATCAGTCCTTCTTCTCCTCATTCATTGGATGCGAATCTTTTAATCGATCAAATAAATTTTCAAATTCAGCCTCTGTATCAATCTTGTCAGTACATGGTTTCGGTATGTGAAACTTGAATCCCAATGAAAGGGCTTCTGCATCCATACTATTAGTATTCGATAAGTTATGAATAAACTTCGAAGGGTTTTCCAGAAAATCTTTATTAGTGAATTTTCAAAATGAATATATTCAGTGAAGCAGATTGTAATCTGAATTTCCTAGTTGAAGGTAAATCTCACTGACCAATGAGAGCATGCATATAAGCAATGTTAAAGGTTTACTTGGAAATATTTCGTTTAAATGAAAATATAGGAAAAACATCCTGAAATTCATTTGTTATTATTCTGTAATTGTGAGGACGGCCCACGGGTGAAATCGAGGAAGCTCTAAGAAGCTCAGAAAGAGCCGAAGATATTTTGTCCAATCATCTTTTAGAAGAATATCCGAAAATCCCTTTGTGTAGCTTCCCTATTGAACAAATGCTAATAACCCCATGTATTCGGATTAGAGGACTATAATGATGATTTCGTTTTTACTAAAAACTATAAATACCTGGGAAATTTGTACCATAATTGACACTGTTTTGGAATAGTATTCCTTTAACTTGTCTTCTGTCTTCTCATCTGCTACTTGGAGGGTTCTAGCGTTCAAGAACTCTAGTTGTACGCGATATAATAAGAATATAGCAGTAATAACTTCAAGATTTTTATCTATATAATCTATCCTTCTGCTGAAATATGAGAGTCAGTTAATCTGGCAGTTGTTAAATATAATTTTCGTCTAGTACTGAAATGAAATGAACAACTTGCAAACGGAGCAGCACCAGACTGAAGTTTCGATATTTAACATGAGCGTGAAATCTATCACTAACAAAAGTAAATGACTGTCGTAAACTTTCGTAGTTTCGTTAAATAGGCAATATGGGCCTTCGTTTTCGAATTTTCTAATCACTGAATGAGCTTTACATCCTACATCCGATCCCTGATGAGATTGTGAGTACTCGTTTTTGCGAAGCCCTTAAATCTGAACAAAATGGCCATCGAGTGTTCATTGGTTTTCAATGACTCTCCAGTTGATATTAGTCTGCAATGAAAATAATCTTCAAATCGAAGTATTTCCTACAACCATCTAGTTAAACAACCATGGTACACATTTTCAATAACAGTCAACTTAAAGTATGTAACGATGTCCATTCATTGTCATTGAATTCCAGTTCATTGGTCTAAATATATCTTATCGACTAAGGACTAAGGACCTGAAGGTTCTGATTTCGGTATTTGGGATGGAGTCTGTATGCTCATTGTCTTGTAATCTGAAACTAAACGAAGTGACTATCCAACACATTCTGATGTCGGTTTGTGATGTAGTTTATTTTATGAATGATTTATGCTACCTCGTAAATTGAAAGACAAATCCCATAAAAGTAGCTCTTTAGTAATAGAGCAGACGTTTCTGTGTTCTCTTCCCTGAAAATGTGGATTTTTAATCGGTGAGATAGGTAACTCTATTGACTCATCTACTTCATAAAGAAATTGAAGTGCATCAACATAAAAAAGAGTGCCTTTTCTAATACTAGTCGATAATGGCTTGGAAACTGTCTTACTTACTTACTTACTTACGCCTGTTATCCCTCGTGGAGGAGCATAGGCCACCCAACAGCATTCTCCATTCAACTTTGTCCTGGGCAATTTGGAAACTGTCTACCGATTATTTATCTTATTCAGTCGTTGTCTGATAGACAAACCAAAAGGATTACTAGTATGAATATGATACGAAAAGTGTTTATCTGAAATATGTACACCACTGAGTCGGTTAATACAAATATTAGACAGCTTATAGAACGGCAGTTAACAATTACATTACGAAGTTATTTGTTTTAAAACCATGATATAAGTAAACAGTCAAAACCAGAACTTTTATCAGAATCAGAACTGAAATCTTTATAACACATAGACTTGAAATATACAGCAAAATTATTCTTAGACTAGTAGAATATAAATGAAGTGGTTAATAACTAACAATTAAATGTCAGTCCAAAATATATAGGTCACTATGCTAGAAACTTAGTTGTCTAATAATCAGTTGCCAAAATGACTCGCATAATCATATTCATGAGAAGCAAAGTCATACTGACCAATCTTAACTTGAATAATATGAAGAAAAAACATACATCTACGCGAATGGATGACTTTTGAAGTGGACTAAAATTTATCTCACCTATTCTAGTGAAACGCGAAAACTAATTAGTACCTCATAAATAAACGAATAATTAAATTCTTTGAAAATTGAAGATATAACGAACTGTTTCCAAAGAGGCAATTTGTTTTTTAACTCTATTATATGTACCAATAGTAAAGACTCTTAACTTTGACACTTTCTAATTCTATTTTTAAATGATATCATATAAATGTTTATGTAACATATAAAAATAATTACTGAATTCTTCTATAATATTTGTTTAAAAATTACTTCATATCAGTTTTTTCCTAATAGCGTTGTAGTCTTTTATTACGAAAAATTATATTATTATTATGATTAATATAAGAAAGTAATAGGTGTTGTTTTAATCGTTAACCATATCGCTTTCATAAAACGTAACTCGTTCAAATTATATACTGTTCTAATTTCTATAAAACATAACTAAACTGTCCAATATGTATGCACGTATATCAGTGCCGACTATTTGATTTTGGCTATAGTTTTAGTTTTTGAATATCCTTATTTTTTACTACAACCAAAAATCGGGATATTTGTTTATCTTTCACTTGCATCTCTATCTGGCCAATAATAATAATAATAATAGATTTGATTCCTTTCTCATGATCAGAAATGAATAAACAAATGTGTTGTACAAAATAATTACTTAACTGAAAAATCAAATTTCTTTGAGAGTTATGTATAACAACGATTAATCATTTGTCCCATAAAATAAAACTTCTGTTTGTGGTTTTCTTTTTCATTTTTTTTTAACTTAGAGGATTATTCATTTGATAATTATGATTATTAGTTGTAATTTGTTCTCATTTCCAATGATAGAAAAATTAACCAAGTATACAAAAAATGACATTAGTTTCAACCTATAGACAAGTAAATCAATTGATGCATTCTTATTTTACAATAACTAAACTAACCGATCAAGTTTATGGTTCTATAATATTTTCAGTTATTTACACAGTTGAACAAAAACTGAAAAGTTATGATTTTATCTTTTTTTTAGTAGAAAAGAAATAGCTTTTTCCATAGCCCCTCTATTCTATTAATTAGTATAAGTAACACTAAATAACTTCTAGCTAAAAGATCTACATCTTTCCATTTAAATGAACATGTGTAGTTAATGGTGTATGGGAAACACTCGGCTTCATATAGCAAAACTTGTTTTTTTTTGCGGTCAACGATCGTCTTTATATATATTCTCGGTAGATTGAAACTCGTTCAATCACTACTAACTGATGTAGGAATTTTTCTTATTCCGTTTATACAAATTATTAGTCTATCATAATTCCTAAGGTGTGAGAATAGATACCATTTTCAATAATGTATATGCAACTCTGTGTGATGTTAATTATTAGGTGGTTTGATGTATCTGGGAGACAACCTTTGATCTAATTTCCATGCTAGTTAGCAATAGTCAACAAGACAAATCTATAATGTTGAAGGAACTAATGTCTGTTGTACGATTCGATCCAGTGACACCCAACTTCACAGTCTGGGACGTTGGAGCTAAGCTACTAAGGGTGAGATCAAACTAAATTAGAACAGAGGTATTTACATTAAATGACCACTAAATAGTGACCAGTAACAAATCTGTCTGGTATTTAATATTGATAGTCGTATATCGATCGAAAAAAATATTCAACTTGATGTCTATTCACCTAGACTAATGGCCTCATTTCAGCTAGATTTATAAAATTCAATAACCACTAAGAAGAATTTGATATAAATGACGTTGGTCACTTTTCAGTGACCAATCAATTTTTTCTAATTTTTCTTCCACAACAACAATCATTAATTCTCACTTCTTATCTGATCTGTACTTAGCTAGTCGACTTTATTTTGCAAGAATTACGTGACTATACATTAACATTTGAATTCTAAATAATTATTTCCCTATGCCATTAGTTTATTTTTCTACTAGAATATTTATATATTCCACCTATCGGCATTTATATTACTTAACATATGAACGTCTTTTATAATTCTCCCATACCTTTTTATGAAACTTTCCTGGCATCATGATGTAAAGTATGTACACCGATTTTTTGATGATTACTAGAATTATGTTAAGGTTGTGAGCAGCGGATGAGAAACCGCGGAATAAAGTGAATTCATGTTATTGTTCCACAACGTCCATTGTTCTTGCTTTGCTCAAATAAAAGATTATTTAATAACTGTATTTTGATCAAGTTTAAGCACTACTGAGCTCACTTTTCAACTGAAAGATCCATAGAAATAAACGAAACCACCAATTATTTTATTCGGTAACACAACGATTCCACTATCTCGAACAACAGAAAACTGGAAAAAGTAAAGAAAGAACGGTGAGTTATTTTTTAGTTCCCAACATATATTTGGAGAATTTCGGTTCATCTTTCATGTAAAGATATTTGACTGTATTATTAAGAAATTAAATACTATGAACATAGGTTATAAAGTGGGGTATTCCGTCCGTTTTTTCTAATGTTCAATAGATGTACGGTGCCCTGGATTTTCGGACATTTTCTTTATTCATTTGGTTAATAAGTCACACAGAAGAGTGTAGCTTTCACTTGAGATTTCATTTCAATTGTCTGGAGTTATCTACCTCTGCAACACCCATTCACTAAATAGACGATAAAATGCCTGACAATCCAGAGCTTTCCATGCCTACTGAACGTTGAAAATCGGATGTATATCTTCATACTTAGTTTAATGGCACCGAAATTTAGATTGGTGTTTGTCCTAACACATAGACTCAGAACATCATTTTGTGGTCTATAATGAACAACTAAACAAATGGGATAGCATGGAAAAGCTGAGTAATATAGATGATAGGGTCAGACATGTGACCTTATCTTGAAGTTTACATAATTTTGACCTTACAACCATTATTCAATTAGTTGCATACAATGAATCAGTTAAACAACCAGAGGTTTGTACACTTCAATCAAAGATAATTTGAATTATAATTAGATATCGATCTGAAAAATAACAATGAAATATGTGTCTGTTAACCACAATGGTCAATCTGTTGTTCTAGCCAATCAGTCTTTATATTTTTCTCCCTCCTTACTTGTATACTATTGCACGCGTTTGGGTTTGATTGTAGATACATTTCATTTAATCTGGTTAAAGGAAATCGTATTATTACAAATAATTCCGGTTCCTATTGATCTTTTATTGGATAATTGATATTAGTATACAAAATGATGACATTATTTCTTCGGGTTTCATAGCAGCTTGACAACAGGTTGACTTACTATTTTTAAAATGTCATAAAGCTTTTGTATACATTTTATTCATCGGTATTCTTTTGCATTCATAAGAAACATGTAAGACCAACAAAGTTATGTGGTTTATCAATAAAGACTAAAATATTTATTTGGGGAAATTTAATTCTGTGAACCAAAATAAATAAGAAATAACTTATTAGTCACGTTCCCGATTCGAAAATATATATGTTATTTCTTTATACCTACGTAACTCAAAAAATTATTACATAGTTTTTAGTGGTCACCACGGAATAAAAACTCTTCTGAATATCTAATCAGTCAATCATTCATGTATAGCTACTCTCGAATAACATTTTTATAATATTGTTTTAACTACAGACAGAAATCGTACTAAAAGGATCGCCATAAACTGAAGTATACAAGTCATCTCTTTTATCTGTGCCTAAGTCAATTTTATGGTTCCAATTATACAAACGATTCTTAACAGTTGTTTTTAAGCTAATGTATAATGAAAAACAGTGAAACAAATAAGACGAAACAAAGAATAAATGCACCTGTTCTGTTGCTGTTTACAACAGTTTTCACCTTTTTGTTTGCTTGTTAAAGATATCGCATCAAGGTAAATACTTCAAAGTGGGATTATTTACCTTTTAAATAAAAAATGAATCATATAGATGATTCACTAAAGAGAGAATGGATAGACAATTAAGCGAAATGAACTGTAAAAAAGAAAGCAGTAAAGATTTTTGGCAGAGAATGAAACAATGTTCTTCCTTTTCTTTAAACACAACATAACAATTAGCACCTCGATGGATAATGCATTGAGCGTTTGAAGGGAAAGTAACTAGATATGAGTTCAAGTGTGAATATTAACACTAGAGAACAGGTACATTTAGTTGACGAAGCCGTAATAGAAAAGCACACGAATTCTGGATTCCACCATTAGCCACCATCAAATTCGCTTAAAATAGCGTAGAAAGGTGTTATTTTCGATTTAGTTGTCGATAACTAGTGATATTAACTGAGGAAACAACTGAAAAATCAGCTAGTTTTGGATACTTGTTTCATTCTGGTGTTGTATTTCATGTAAGTGTACAGACGCAATTACAGGCATGATCTTAAATACAGAGTTTTCTTGTTTCACACTGGGAACGACACGAATAATTCGGAATACACTGATATCGTCATGAAGACTAAATGTCTTTGTGTTTAACCTGTTGGTGATCACGACTGTAAATTCGTAAAAGGTAACAAATCAGAATATAAGAACTTCTTTTTGGACTCAAGTCTACACTTGTTCACTAATTACTATTATTTAGCGATCAAAACTGTATTCGAATTATACTACATTCTAACTAAATAATATAAATCAATGAATACTTACTTACGCCTGTTACCCTTCATGGAGGCGAATAGATCGCTCACCAGGAGTTCTTCACCTGGAGCTCTTCTAGAGCTACTGCCTGTCTCGAGTCCGAGTAAAGAAGAAGTTTTGGACATGGGGTCGGTGACCCCATTCCATAGGAAGAAATCTTGCTAAAAAACGCCAATCAGATTAAACAGTCAATGAATAACTACTGTTTATGATTACTTTGCTTTAGTATATGAAAAAAACTATGTTGTTAATGATATTAATAGTTGAAAATTATATTTTGTAAAAAGATGTCTCTTATAATGATTCTTATTTAATGAGTTGAGAAAAAACAGTCACTTCTAGAAATCTGTATCTTTCCAGATGACTTGACTAGAAAAACACAATACAGAAACTTTTGCATTTATCGTATATTATTTTAAATAAAGCCATTTCGTTTTTCCTAATTGCTAAGTATTTCAATTTCTTAACAATGAAAACTTTCTATGATATCATATAAATACTTGATCATAGAATAGATTTCATATTCACAGTGTTTATTCAATATATAATATTGAAAAATATTCTCTTTCTCATTTGATTCACCATCATTTGATTAACAATTCAATAAATATCCTTAAAAAAAAGTCATTGTTTTATTCTATTTCCCTTGACTACTAATAAACTTTGATACAAAACTAGACAACTATAAAAACGAATAATTAATGAGTGACATTAAAGAAAATTATTATTTCTTTATTTTAACAGAATAAATGGAATAACAATTTACTGTTTAATATGATTCACAAAGTTGACTTGATTTATGGTGTGTGTGTGTGTACATGGTTTATCAAATTATTAAAAAAATGTCATCTTTTTAAAACTTTTTTTTCACTTTCTTGTCATCATTTCCCTAATCATATCAACATTGTAATCACTGACTTGTAGTAACTTTAAAATATGGTTTCAATTGATGATTAATGGTGTTTCTGCCCAAAAGTAAACGATATTTATTGGATCATCCTCACTGAATAATCGAAGAAAAGATACATACATGTTATTATTAGGATGAACAGTTGAATAATCACTAGGATTCAAGCAAACAAAACCTTTTCCATCTTAAAATTGTATATAATACCCAAAGAACTTGATTACTAAATTATATTATTGACAATTTCAAAAAGAACCCTCTAAACAAAACTCTATTATGATTAATTGCCTTGAAAGTTTGAATTTATATTCATCGGTATTGTGTTGCTGTTGTTGTCTCTTTTATCTTTTACTGAATATTTTATTATAGTTAAACAAATAAAAGAAAATAATAAATCTTAAAAGTAATTTAATTTTGTCCCGTTTTATTTCTTTTTTCTTTTTTTGAAAAGAAAAACAGAACAATTACTTAATAAATAATGAATTGACAAAGAGATGAATAAGATTATAAAATATGACTAAATCATTGTTTTATCAGAAGGCGGTTTTGTGGAGATTTTTAGTAATTTTATATAGTTGAAATCATGAGTCAATTGAAGCTAGACCACCATGGAAATACTTGAAGCACTGGACGGCCGCTTCGTTTCATTATGGGACTCCTCAGCAGTGTTCTTCCACGATCCCGTCTCGTGAGATTCGAACCCAAGACCTGTCAGTCTCGCGCGCGAGCGCTTAACCTCTAGACCACTGAACTGGCCGGCACCCGACGGCGTTAATGTCTAACTTCAACCAATCCACGAAGTCGAGCAACCATTCATCAATGTCTTCAGTGATTTACTATCTCACAACAGACCTGGTTGAACTCAACTCATGATTTCAACTATATATATATATATATATATATATATATATATATATATATATATATATATATATATATATATATAATTACTAAAAATACCACAAAACCCATTTTTGATAATGATCATATGCTTACTAGTGACTGGCTCCGAGAGGAATTACTGGAGCTCTAATGAGAAGCAATGACCAGTGGAGTTCAATCGGGTCTGTTGTGAGATAACAACTCACTGAAGACAATTGATGAATGGTTGCTCAATTTCGTGGATTATTTGAAGTTAGATATTAACACCGTTGGATGCCGGCCAGCCCAGTGGTCTAGAGGTTAAGCGCTCGCGCGCAAGACTGGTAGGTCCTGGGTTCGAATCTCACGAGATGGGGTCGTGGATGCACACTGCTGAGGAGTCCCATAATGAAACGAAGCGGCCTTCCAGTGCCTCAAGGTTTTCCATGGTGGATTAGCTTCAATTGACCCATGATTTCATTGTTTTATGTTAAATTCTAATTTATCAAAATGCCTAATCATTATTCCATTGAATTACTTCTAAGTAATTAAATAAAAAAACTGCATAAATAGAATTATAGCTGAAACTGAAATTACACATTACAAATTCTTGATTTATTAAGTGGAATATAAATGATTGTAATGACCAATTACTAAATTTTCAAGTCTATTATTTAATGAAATAAAAAAACTCCTTACAATAATCATTTCATCTTCTTTACCTGACTAATAGAGATGAGTAAGTTGGGGACTTTTATAATTGAATTTATACTTTTGGTTTTGTAACTTGTACTATTTCATACAGTATAATGATAACAAAATGAATTAATATTATAGTGAATAACAAATCAGGTGGGGAAGAAACTAAGTTATTATTTCATGCAAAATTACACAATGACTTTATAAAATATAAAAAACATACATTCAATACGTTATTTGTATATCTTCTTCCAGTTTTCCTTGACATACTTCATAATTCTTACAATTCTGTTGTTATTCCAATTGTTCTGTGTTTCCCTTCCTGTTTTATTCAATTCAATCCTATTCTGGTAGATATTCCGCTTCCGACTGGTGCTATATACTACTTATATCTGTCAGCATATGCGGCGTATGTGAGCTGTTAAATTTCTTCAAATCCACTTTGATTACTACCAATTATAATCATGCTACTCAAAAATTAATTGGTGATATAAAATCATTTAGAATTTGTTACTATGTTTAATGTCATAAATTTCTTTTGTTTCCTACTTTTCAGAATTTCATCGTTCGTGTAAATCAACAAAATTCAAGCATGGTACTCACTCGTGTCTGTCCACCAACAACAGTCTTACGTTCACCCAATAAAACTAACGATTATTTACATGTTAATCACAAGGGCTACATTGAAAACAACCACAACAAAAACCAACACCACAATGTTTATTTACCAATTAAACATAATTTGATTGAAATACTTCCTCATGATGGTTATTGTTTAACTGGAGATAAGAAAATACGTTTGATATTTAAAAGTTTGATACATTTATTAGAATTCTATTTACTTGTTCAAGTAAGGTACGTCAATATTTGTATGGGGATTTATGTAGATTGCAGTATAGATGGATTAAAGTTAGACATTAACACCGTTAGACGCCGGCTCAGTGGTTTAGAGGTTAGGCGTTCGCGCGCGGGGCCAGAGATCCTAACTGCTTACTGCTGAAGAGTCCCGTACTAGAGCGAGACGGCCGTCCAATGCTTCTAGATTTCCAATAGTGGTTTAGCTTAGATTGACTCTTCAATTCAACTTTTAAAGTTAATATTTGTTATCATGTCACCTAATTCTGTCGACTATTTGCCCTGGAATCTGATATCAGTTAGGGAGTCATTGTTGCTCTTGGTTGAAACTCCTCATTAATGTGTCTATCACAGCACACGGAGTCAAGTCCACGTTTGTATTACCTAACAATCTGGTATTGCAATGATCCACCAGGGATTTGAAGACCATATGATCTGTCCAGGATGATTCGAAATGTGATTATCTTTGTTGCCTAGAAGTCTCTATTACCAGTAGAGTTGGAGATTTCATTAAAATTAAATTCAAGTGTATAAGCTTTCAGTTAGGTAAACTACTGCAATAATCTAATCTAGGATTTTCGTACTTTTCTTGGAGTTCATGAGTTATAATCTAACGGTTTTTTACTCTTCTAGGAGAGATGCAAATTGCAATATTTGAATGAAGTGGATGATTTGCACATGATAAAATAAAGCTTACCACTAATTTGCAAAACTTCAAATATCTATCTACAGCCATATTCATAATGACGTCAAAAGATTCATCATTTACCTCACTAATCCCTTTGAGGATAGTAGGTGACACAGAATGGAATGATGTTGAAATTATAAAAGGCCAATAAGGCTTAGAAGTAATGAAATAAACTGGTGAGATAAGTGGCTCGTTGCAACAAATATGCATTTTTATCAGTCCATAGTCTGTAAAAATGTTTGATAACAACCAAACTACTGAGCATTAACAAGTAGCATAGCATATAACACAAAAATGCTTAGCAAATCTCCCGATGTTATTGCATTCCAATTTTCATTGGGATGCTAGTACATCCATCTGGTAGGTCTCAAATAGCAGAAAGCTCGCGTCCTAAATTCCATTGCAAGCCTCAATCCATCTATTTTATAAAATTTTTATAATTTTTTACCAATAAATGTTGTAAAAGCTCACCTATAAAATATACTTGTTCTTACCATTTCTTTAATAGTTAAGGCTATCAACTTGAAATTCATTGTGTAAACGATTTTTATATTCAATAATTCATCTAATAAAAAAATTTATCCATTCCTTCTGGGTCTTTTTAACTACTTCTTTTCTGATTTTCTCATTCTGTCAAAAAGTAATCGTGCATCATTCCTTCGTTTACCATCGGCAATTTGTCAAGCAAAAACTATGAACGAACTTGACCAACTTAATAAACAGGGAATAAGTAAGTAACATATTTTATACGAATACTTCTGTAACAATGCCAATTTGAACTACTCCATAAATGGCATTATTTTACCAATAACAATATAAACTTTTGTCGTATGTCATGCTAAAAGATAATTTCTATCTCACACTTATTATTTATTACTAAGTGATGGTTGGAAAAATCCAGTCTGATGGTTCGTTTTGAATATAAACTAAAAATTAGATATTCATTGGCAAAGTAATTATCTATTTGACTTTTGTATGTCAAAAAATATCAGCTGAATCCTGCATCTATCTGATCAAATGAACAATAGCACACATGACTTTGTTCAGCTATTTAAATGTGTTGTATACGGCTACTACACTTAACTTCATTAGAAAGAAACATAACCAATTTTCATCTGAATAAACAGTTTAGGTGATCAAATTGTTGAGGGCTATCTCCTCACACAAAATTACCAACTAACTAACTAACAAACTTACTTACTTACTTACTCCTGTTACCGCTTGTGGAGGAGCATGTTCCGTACACCAGTATTCCAAATCGAACTCTGTTCAGGACAATCCTTTCCAGTTGTTTCCGATTGCTTCCAATTGCTAATCATCTTTTTAATGTCTGCTTCCGATTCCGGAGTCAATGTGTTGTTGAGCCTTCCTCTTTTCTTTTTCCCTTCAGGATTCCAAGTTAGTGCTTGCATCGTGATACAGTTTGGTGTTTCCCTCGATGTATATCCTATCCACCAACTCCATCGTCTTTTCCTAATTTCCTTTTCAGCTGGAACCTGGTTTGTTCTCTCCCACAACAAGCTGTTGCTGATGGTATCAATGCAATGGACATTGAGTTTCTTGTGCAGACAATTCTTCACAAATACTTGTACTCTTTGATTATGGTTGTAGAAGTTCTCCAAGTTTCAGCTCCATACAGTAGAACTGTCCGTATGTTCGTATTGAAGATTCCGACTTTGATATTCATAGGCAGTTGTTTTGAGCTCCATATGTTCTTCAACTGTCAGAATGTTGCCTCTGCTTTGCTAATCCTCGCCTTTATGTCTGCACCAGATCCTCCCTGTTCAGTGATGATGCTGTCCAAGTATGTGAAAGTTTACATTCCTTCCAAAGCTTCTCCATCAAGTGAGATTGCGTTAGTGTTCTCTGTATTGCATATCGAGATCTTGGTTTTTCCCTTGTGTATGTTCAGTTCTACTGATGCAGACGTTTCTGCTACACTGGTTGTCTTAACCTGCATTTGTTCGTGTGTATGGGATAAAAGGGCTCGTTCATCTGCGAAGTCCAAATCGTCTAACTAAATCCGACCTGTTCATTGTATTCCGTGCTTCCCTTGAGATGTGGATGTCCACCACCAGAAGGAAGAGAAAGGGTGAGATTAACCAGTCTTGTCTGACTCCGGTCCTCAATTGGAATGCATCTGTCAGCTGTCCTCCATGCACGACCATGTAGTTTGGTCCGTCGTATGAATTCTGGATGATGTTGATGATTTGCTCAGCTACTCACACCATAGCGTCGAAGAAGGTTCCATAATGTTCTTCTATCAACATTGTCAAATGCCCTCTCATAGTCAAGGAAGTTGATGTATAATAACGAGCTCCATTCAATTGATTGTTCAACGATAATCCGTAGTGTCGTGATTTGGTTTGTGCACAACTGATCCTTACGGAATCCAGCCTGTTGATATCGAAATTGAACGTCTATTGAATCTTTCATCCTGTTCAGAAACACTCTGTTGAAAACCTTTCCTTTTTCCGACACCAAATGTAGTGAACAGAACACTGGTTGGGGACAATCGAATGTATTTTAGCAAACATTACAGACTATCTCGGTAAATTCTGATAACCAAACAATGAACAGTCAATTTGCAAATTAACAACCAATTGTTTCAATCTTCACTGTTTCTTCTCTAATTCCATTGCTCATGCATTTTCCTACCGATTGCGCTTCATTTCAGTTCTTTCTTCATCGGTCTTCTGCGAAAATACATTCTATGTCTGACCCACACCGTATACTACTTATATAGATATAAGTAGACAACACCACACATGTAGTAGTGTGATACCTGTGTAGTTCTCATACTTGCTGATATCTCCTTTCTTTGGTATCTTGATTAGGTGTCCTCCTTTCCAGTTTGTCAGCACTTTTTCTTCCTCCTAAATCTTCCTGAATAGAAGGTGAAGCATGTTTGTAGTTACTTCTATGTCTGGCTTCCGTGCTTCAGGTGGTATAGTTTTAGGTCCTGTTGCTTAACCACACTTGATTTGTTTGGTGGCCATCATGATTTCTTAGATCGTTTGTGGGGTGAAATCTTAAGAAGGACTGTGTATGTTGCTTCGATGTCCGGTGGATTCAGTGGAGCTGGCTTATTCAAGAGTTCAATTACTAACTACATAACATTATTTTTCCATTTATTTCTACTTTTAGAAATGAAAGTTAGATGTATATCTTTCAACGCTTAGCAATGTAAAACTCAACTACCATCCTCTGGCACTTCCGATATATAACATCGTAAGTACTCTTAATGCATCGTTCAGCCAGCAATGTACCGACTAATTTTCGTGGTTAGTGATTTGGAGTGATGAAGACTTTGTAGCTCAGACGGATACCTTGTGTGATGTTGAGTTCTTTGAGTTAGATGATTCTAGCGGAAACCTTGAATTATGAAATGTTGCTTTTGTTCAACATTATATTAAAAGCTTCACAATTAAACCATTCAGTTTAGAAAATGTATCATCAGTAAAATGCTGATCAACTTTCAACTTCGCATTGGATTCGTAGGAATACGTGACTGTTCTTGATTTTTTTGTGTTCTAAATCGATACTAGAAACTTTATAAATTCATCAGTATGACTTAGATTCATAGTAGTCAGCACAGGATAACGTCTCTTCAGGACGCAGTTTTCATATTAATGAAACCAACTTACTGTGATTATTTTTTCAAATGTCTATTTTATGAGTTTTTTTTAAAGTAAACTTGGTGCACAATAAATTATATTTATGCCGCCACGAGTTTTTAAAAAAAAACAGTTACAGTGTTTAGTTTCCATTTTCTCATCATGCCATATCCACCAATTGAATCAGCAAAGATCAATAATGATGACTCAGCTCAATTTAGTCTCAGAGACATCATATCAAACTGGCTAATCATTAAGCAACATCAAAATGTCAACCTCTATTAGTTTAAATAGTACGCAATTTATCAAAAATGGTTTGAATTATTCCTTTGTTGATATTCTTGACTGAATTTACATTACTCTTTGTTGTCCCATGTAGATTTTGCGCAAAATCCCTTCATATAACCAATTTTTCATAAGTTTTATCCGGAACAGATGAATTATAACGATGAAAATTAAGTCCCAAATATTAGCGATCGCAATGTTTAAACCGTTCTTTGTTAAGAACATCACATCCGCTGCACAAGTGCTTGGATATTTATATACAATAGCTTTGTGAATAACTCGGTGTTTAAAGTAAAAAGTATTATTTTCAAGTCCCAGTGTAAACGTCAACACTGGGTTAAAGGCACGTGAAACTGACGGGTCCCTAATAAGGTGAAACGTGCATCGTAAATCTTAACCCTAACCACAAGCCGTATATTCTATATAAAACACGTAATTTGTTCAATAAATACACAAACTGAGATAATGAAACTGTCTTTGAGATTTTGAGTATATCAATCTCATTCTCTTCAAAATACCCCCCCTCTATTGAAGGTAATACATATGTGTCATCTCCGCCTTCATTGTTCAGAACATCCTTGGAAGTTATATTAAATCACATTCTTCATCTGAGTTCTTTCACTTTTTGCTGCCTATTCCTTGCTGTATGGTTTCAGCTAAATGTCATATTCGTTGAACTACGTTTTTGTTTTGTTGATCAGGCATTAAAAACTTTGAAGACGACTTTCGCACATAAATTTTTATAGTCACACATGTTTCCTCCGAATTATGTGGACAGACGACTTCCTCGAATTTGATTAATCAGTGACCGTCTAGCCAGTGAATTGGAGTGACAGAACAAGTCCGATATTAATATCAAAATAACTGTTTTGTAGCTAAGTTCATTTGTTTGTTAAACAAGCTGTGGATATATAAGATTTTATAAAATATTACGTATACCATTCACATACTGACGTAATAAAACAAAGCAAGATAATGAGATTTTTCCGAAATAATAATCAATACTCAACTAATTAGTATGGTTCACCATAGCCCACGAATGAATTTTACATTTAATCTTATTTTCTATTGTTTTCCCTTCCAATGTTACACAGTTTTGTAACTAACCCTCATTATCATCATCGCCTAATTAAGATTAGATGTAATTGTGCACAAAAATAGAGACATATATTCACTTAAGTGCAATTACAAGTCCAGTTACTTTGTCATTGTGCGAAATAAATTATTTGAAAATCTAAGACACCATCTGGAATAAATGATTTGAAATCCATTCTTTGTCTAGTTTATGGACAGAAATGTGACATAAATGATACATATTTTTTTTTGTTCAGTAATCTCTAGAAATCAGTGAAAATATAACGCCCATAAGAATTTACAGGTGGAAATGTTATTATCATTTATGAATGTTTCATTTTATCGATTATAGTGAAACTAACAACTTCTGTATAACCGCAGGATCAGATTACTTAGGGGATTTGCATATATGGTAAAGATTTTTACTTTGAAAACGCTTATAGTTTTTGTATGTGAGTTTATTAAGACCTTATCATCTAGTATAGATGTGAGAAAATACATCATTGAATTATGCACGTTTGTAAATGCATATTGAACAATCAGACTGTATAATTTAATTTTGTGATAGATATATGAGTTAAGAGTTAGTAGTAAGAGTTAAAAATAGGAGTTAGGGTCAGAGTTTTCATCATAAACTGACGTAATCTGTAATTCACGAATGCTGTTTAGATGTGAGGATAACCATCGTTTTTCAATGCTCAATCAAATTGCAATTTTTTCCGTTCATTTAGTGTGTCAGTGCTGCGCATATGCG